TGTAGTTGCATTCTAGAACTGTGCATTCAGAGAGAGGCATGGTTTTGGCTCACCCTGGTAATCCCAGTTACTTGGGTGGTAGGAGATCAGTGGGATCAAGGTTTTGGGCAAGCACAAGAAAAAAAGATCTCCAGATCCAGTCTCATGCAGCAGTGGGACCTGCCTGCCATTCCAACCACACTGGAAGCTTAAACAGTGGTTGTGCAGTCCTGGCCAGACTCAGCCAGAAGCATGGCCTTACCTCACTAATAACTCGAAGAAAAGGGCGAAACCCCAATTTTAAATCCAAATATCCCCCAAACCCCTCCTCCCAAAAAAGCAGCAACAAAGAATAACCCCCGTTACGTCCCCCACCAAAACCCCTGCAGATCCAAAGGGGTCACTGAGGTCTCCTACCTCTATTTCCTTCACCTCCTACCTTCCCCTGGTGACAGACATAGGCCTTAGTCCCTATCTCTTATGAATCCCAACAGAGCAGCCTCAGGATTCCAGAGGATTTCTTTTCTGAGGCCAGTTGCACATCCCAGCTTATAAACGGTTGACCATGTTCAGGGATGACCCGCACACTCTCTCCTGATGTCCTCCCAACAGTATGGCTCCTTATTGCAGTGAAAGTCCTCCCTGTCCTTTAGCCACGCACTCCCCCATTCCTACCTCAATGTGGCTTCTTCTCTGCTTCATTGGCCTGCTGCATCACCAGATCCACCTGTGTTCCTCTGGCCCCTCCCCTGCAGCGCCTTTCTTCTGATCCAGAGTTCCTGGAAAACCAAAGGGACTATATCATGTTGCTCAAGATTGCCCTTCCTTGCTGTGCTCAGGTGGCTCACGCCTGTAATCCTAGTTATTCAGGAGGCTGAGATCTGAGGATCAGCCTGGGCAGGAAAGTCCCTGAGACTCTGATCTCCAATAAACCACCAGAAAACTGGAAGTGGTGCTGTGGCTCAAGTGGTAGAGCACTGGGCTTGAGCTGAGTAGCTGAGGGCCAGCACCCAGGCCCAGAGTTCAAGTCCCATGACTGACCAAAAAAGAAAAAAAGATCACCCCTCCTCCTCCATGAACAGAGCGTGAAACATAGCAGGTGCTCAATGCATGTTTATTGTAGGGTATGGATGACTGAGAGTGAAAATTGGGTGGGTGGATATTTGATCCTTTATCCAACAACTCAAGGCAACGTAGGACATTGATGTGCACCAAGACCCTTGTGGGTTCCACACGTGTGACTCCACCTTAAACTCCTATCTTCTTTTTTTTTAAGTAGAGAGTCAACTTAATGCTTCAAGCATATTAGACCAAGTTCCCTGCTTTTGAGCTATGCCCCCAGCCCTTGAATAGAGGAGTAAAGTTCTGAGTATGAGCACTGGAATGGACTTTCTCAGATTATTAGGAAGGACAAAAAGAACCCTGGGATACAGAAGTCCAGAAGGGTAAGACTTAGTTTTGTTTCAGTAAAAGATGATGCTAGACTTTTTAGCTTTGCTTTCTGAAGAGCTGGTTTTCAGCGGAACTATGTGAGTAAGGTAACAGACTTGGCGTCCTGAAGGAGTTGGTGATCTTGTTGTGAAAACACAGGTAACAAGATGCAGTAATAACGATGAAGACAAGGACAGCATACAACAGAAAGACTCCTCTTCCCCTTGTCCGAGGTCTTGAAGGAGTTGGTGATCTTGTTGTGGAGTCATTTTTGTTCATTATGTATACCTGGAAAACAGGTAACAAGAAGATGCAGTAGTAAAGGTGAGGAGAAGGTCAGCATGCAACAGGAAGACTCCCATTCCTCCTCCGTATTCCACCCTCTTGGGATCCCAAGGACTCACCTTGTTGTATTGGAAGAAGGTCAGTTGGAATCCATTTTCTAAAGACATCTGGGCACAGCATGACTGTACAATTTGGGTGATGAGCACTGTGCCAAGGACAAGTATCACAGACAGCTGCAGACAATGGGAATGGGGAGGATTTGGGAACTGAGCTTCAACTGCAGCTTTGTGATTGGTCTCTATGACATCACGAAAGTCTCCTGTCAGGATCCTCCGGTGTTTGGTGAAGCTCCGGTGTGTATATGGCAAAAGACTTATCTTACCACTCATGCCAGTAGCCCTCAGAGGAGAGTTGAGTTCTTGTTTGGAAAACCACCTTGGCTGATGGCTTCAGGTGGAGAGCGGAGCCCTAGGTGTGTGGTTGGAGTCAGACAGTGAAACAGACATTGTACTAGGTTGGAGGTACACAGGGATTGGAGGAGGTAGACAAGACACACGAGAGAAGGGAGAGTTGGTAGAGGGGAAAGAGATGACACTGAGCCACATGGAAAATGTGGAGCCTATAGAGAGAGGTATTGTGGGAGATGAAGAGGACAGTATTAATAAGTGGCATTCTGTCTTTGCTGCCAGACTCTCCAGTGGCTGTGAAGCTTTAGAGCAAGCCAGGTGCTGACAGACCTATCTGGGCTTGGGGCAATTTGTGTGGGAAAGAAATTGGCTTTAAGTCCCTGTGCCTTGGGACAAAGAGTTAGCAATGTCTTTTCCAAAAGCAGGAGGAAACCATGGACGCATTAGTCTTCTGCTTTTTTTCTCCCTGGGCACCCAGGAGTATGAGGTCCTCATGGCAACTAGAAGATCAAATCTCTCTGCCTGCTACTGCAGTGTCTCTTCCTGCGTCTCATATCTGCCATTAAGCCAGTGGATGCAGAAAACTTATGTTTTCCATGGAAAAGACTTGTGAATAATAGCACATAAAAAGATTTATAAAAAGATTTCCAAATGGAAGTTGCAGCCAGGTGCTGGTAGCTCATGCCTATAATTCTAGCTACTACTCAGGAGGCTGAGATCTGAGAATCATGGTTTTGAAGCCAGCCTAGGTTAGAAGCCAGCCTAGGCTAGAAAGTCCATGAGATTCTTATCTCCAATGAAACATGCATGCACAAAGCTGGAAATGGAGCATAAAAGCTAAAGGAGAGTGCCTAGTTCTTGAATTCAATCCCCAGGTCTGGGACACACACAGACACAGACACACAGACAGACAGACAGACAGACACACACACACAAAACACCAAATGGAAGCTGCTATTCTGCCTTCCTGAGACCAGCCTACTGCATCTTTGTACAGTTAACCCCCAGGAAGTCTGATTTTCCTTTATACATTAAAGGCACTTAGGGAGCTTGCCATATTGAAGAACTACAATGTGACATTCCTGCCCGTGCCGATGCTGCCTGGCCTCCTTATCCACCCCCTGAGAAGCTGATTTTCAGTTTCCTTCTTTCCTGTGAATTCTGATCAGGAACTAGATTCAATCAAATGGAACTGCAAGAACAGAATGGTCCATTACAGAGAAACACAAATCAAAGATTTCTCTCACTAGGCACAAACACATCCTAAGCACTTGGACGGCAGCCAGTGAAATTTCCCTGATTATCATGCTATTTACTCAGTTTTGGCTGTGGCAATTAGCTAACCTGGGCTCTCTGTGGTTACAAGCATAAATATTTATCTTTTGTTTATGTGAAAGTGGAGATTCTAGCCAGGCATTGATAACTCATGTCTGTAACCCTGGTTACTCAGGAGGCTGCAATCTGAGGATCAAGGTTCAAAGCCAGGCTGGGCAGAAAAGTCCTTGAAACTCTTATCTCCAATGAACCACCAAAAAGCTGGAAATGGAGTTGTGGATCAAGTGCTGGAGTGCGAGATTTGAGCTAAAAAGCTCAAGGGACAGTGCCCAGACCCTGACCAGAAAAAAAAACAAAAACCACAAAACTTAATTTTTCTAAAGCAAACTAAGATTTGCAGCCAGTGGGTATACTCTTTGTAGTTAGCGAGGGAGGAGAAATATCTTGTCACATGTTGCTTGCCACCTGACACCATCTCTAGGTCCATGGCTCTCACTCCAAAGAAGTCCAGAGCCTCTGAGCAAGAAGGACAAGCACCAAGATCACGGCACCTTCCCTAGGACACATGTCACAGAACCAATCTGGCCAGACCACCTGCTCTTTCTCTAAGACCATTTTCCCCATGAACTGCCGATGGGCCTACAGCAGTGGCCTTGGCCTCTCCGTGATGACACTTTGAGTCACCCGAGTATTTCCAGGGCCTCTCCCTTCTGTGTCTTCGAAGTCACAATTCACCAACATCCTCCGCTCCCCTGTTCATGACTTCTGTCATCAGGAAGCCACAGGCACATCGACGAAGCATGCACATTCTTTTTTTGTGGCTTGATTGCTTGCCTGACGCTAAAAGTTGCATATTGAAACCTGCACTCAGCGGCAAAGACATTCCTTTAGTGGATGGCTCTCCTCAGAGCCTCCAGTTGATTGTCTCCCACTCCTCTGGGAGAGGCTTTGTGTCCTTCAGTGCCTCCCACCCCGTGTGTGTGTGTGTGTGTGTGTGTGTGTCTGTGAGGGATGGGGGGGATGCTGCTTCCTGGGCCTGTTCTCTGTTTTCCCTCCCAGGCCACATCTCTGCCACCATTCACCTTAGCCATCCCTGGGTTTCTGCTTGTACCACTTGCCTATGCTACAGCATTGTTAGTACATGCGAGTACAGGTGGGGTCTTTTCTTCTGAGAGCTGGAGTTCTGTGAGGTCACGGGCTGAGTCCTGTTCACCAGGGTTCATGTTGCCTTTGTTCTGTACAATAGAGCCTTGAACACAACACATGCTCAACACATATTTATTAAGTGAGTGACTCTAAGTGTCAAGATTCTATGATTCTACAATTGCTCCCCCCACCAATAAGCACTTCGTACAGGGCAGATCTGGAGTGTTTGCACCCAGACCCATGCGCAGATGCCTGCAGCACACGGATACGCATGTCCCACGATGACCCTTTTTGTTCAACTTCATCGATGATCAGCAGGACTAACCTGCCTGAACCACAGCAGGAGGTCCAGGGCGAGGAGGAGGAGGAGGAGGAGGAGGAGGAGGAGGAGGAAAGGCCCTCCTCTGTGGGTCAGGAGAACGGCCTTGATGTCAGGGGCGGGGAGGACTTCTTTTTTGGTCTCAGTGAAAGAAGTTTCTTGACTCTTTTGTTCTACTTATCTGTAGTCTCCACTGGTGTAACCTGGTGTTGTGTTTGGTGGTGGTGGCATGGCCACTGGGTTGTATACACACTGGGGAAGACAGGGTCCACCTGGAAGACAGTGGCTTGGAGGTGAGATGCCCATCAAAGGCTCGTGCTCTGGAACCTCATCCTTCTGTCTGGTGGTGCATGAGATGGTATGAGGGGTGGATTTGATTCATGCTGGTCTCAGGGAACTAAAGGGAGCTCACAGGAGCGAGTTAATTTTCACAGGAAGGGGTTGTTTTAAAGCAAGCTTACCCCTCTCCGCCTCTTACAGCCTTGGTCACTTCCTTATCATAGTGTAATTCAGCCAGAGGGGGCTCTGGGTAGCACCAACCAGGCAATGTTATTTGTACTCTCTTGCCACTAGATCTGAAAGCCAAATCAACTTCTTCCTTGATAACGTGTTCAGCCTCAGGCACTTTGTTATAACACCAGAAAAAGCAACTCAACACACCCAGAAATAAAGACAACATAAAGAGAGACATGCACAAAGGCCTTTGGAGGTTGCATGCTTCCCCCTACTCCTGGGCAGGGTAAGGGAGAAACTTTCCCATTGGTTTCCCCATCATCTGGGGAGACCCGGGACTCACCTGGCTGTACTGACAGCAGACCACTTGGCAGCCAAAGTGGGAGGATGCACAGGCCACGCAGAACTCCAGGATGCAGAAGATGAGCAGCATACCAGAAACAGCCCTGCCCGTGTTCTGAAAGCAGAAGGAATTGAGGGGTGGGTGGGTGGGTGTCTACCTGTGCTCCAGTCTTGGCTCTGGCCTGGGCTTCAGCCTGGCCTCCCATCCTCTCTTGTCCCCATGAGGACAATGGCTCCCCAGATTGTTATGAGGCCCAACTTGGTGACACCCGTTGTGGTCTCATCCCTCACTCCCAGGGGAGTGACATCACCCAGGGAGGTCTTGTTTTACAAATCCAGCCACCAAGACTAAGGTAAGTGTCACTTGCTAAGGGACTTTCAACACGGCTAGCTGTGTGGTTGTGTTTTCTGTTCCCGAGGTGAGAAGCAGGGATGCTTGGCCATCAGGCCCTTCTTCTTCCGGTTATCTAAACATAGCTATGGCAGGATCTGGAAGGTTTTTTGTTAAGAGAGACACTCACCATATCCCAGCTTGAATGGGGAGGGTAGTAACTGAGGTCTGAATACGTTCTAGTGAGACTTAACTCTGTGATGAGAAGGATTATTCCGACGGCAGAGCAGATCGCACTGAAGATGTTCAAGCCCACGCTGGCACCCAGCTGCCGAGGAAGATGCAGAGGGTCCAAGTGGGAGAAGAAAGCTCTCAGGGCTGGGCACTGAGAGTCTCAGCAAGGGTCCCCCCAACTTCTTGTGTTAAAATACACAAAACACAAACTCGACCACTTCTGTATTTACAGTTTAGGAGTATTGAGTTTATCTGGTCAGGCCACCCAAACTACCATCTAGTTCCATAACACTTCATCAACTTTTTTTTTAAAGTGTGAATAGCTAGAGCCTCTAGTTCTTTGGCAAGTAAAGCGGTGAGCTCCCCTATGACCCAGCAATCCCACTTCTGGGCATTTACCCCAGTGATCACAAACAAGACCATACTAAAGCTACCAGCACAACTATGTTTATCACAGCATTATTCACCATAGCTAAGATATGGAACCAACCCAGATGACCTTGAGTAGATGAATGGATCAAGAAAATGTGGTATATATATACACACACACACACACACACACACACACATATATATATATATATACATATATATATATATATATATGTACTATCAAATACTATGCTTCCATCAGAAAGAATAATACTGCCCATTTGTTAGGAAATGGAAAGACTTGGAAAAAATCATATTAAGTGAAGTAAGCCAGACCCAAAGAAACAGGTCCCATGGTTTCCCTTATTTGCAATAATTAGTATACGTCTAGGATCATCTTTTCAGATGAGCAGAAAAGCTCAAAATCCATGTACATAACACCATATAAGATGATGCTAAGCAAAATGAACAACAAATATGAACACAAGAGGGTTGTTTTTTGTTGTTGTGTTTAAAGTACTATGCATTTTTTGTTTCTTTTGTATGTTCTTCCCCCTATGATATATCCCCTGTCGTCACTGTATTTGATTTTAGTACCCTGCATCTTGTATATACATTTATCTAATTTGGGGAGGGGAAGTAAAATAACAAAATGCTGAAACAAGGACACAGGATGACCCATTGCAACAATGAGACTCACAAGACACCATGTTGGAAATGAACTTTACAACTTTGGGAGTGGGGGGGGTTAGAGGAGGAAAGGGATAGTAGGAGAAAAACAAAAGAGGGGGTAACAATGCTTGATAGGAAATGGACTCATTTCCTTACCCATGTGACTGTAACCCCTCTGTACAGCATCTTTTCAATAAAATAGAATTAAAAAATGTGTCTATCTGGGGAAAAAGTGTTGCATTTAATTAGCTTTGATAAAGGTAAGCAGGTCTTTGCTGTAGATTTTTCAGAGCTTTTCTTTTTCTTTTTTTAGGTCTGAGATGGGGACTCAAACTCAGTATCTAAACTCACTGGCTAGTGCTCTACCAACTGAGCCACGCCTCCAACCCCTTTTCAAGGCCTGTCATGGAAACTGTGGATATTCCAGGATATTCCAGATAGATTTCCTCCACTCTGTCTCATGATCTTCACAGAGCCTATCAGGGGCTAAGTGTGCCTATGAATCATCATTGGGAAAATGCTGTCCACTTAGCCCTAAGAGGCAGAGTCCTGTCAGTTTATTGTCACAGAGTATGGCAGGCCATTCATGCACCATGATTTCGGGTCCTGTGTCAAAAGAAGATAGGCCAATGCATATGAAGCCAGCTCTTGGAGGTTATCAAACAAATCTTATAGATGTGAGCGTAGGGACAAAGTCACCCCGAGGCCTTGACCCTGATGGTCAGAGAAACGAAGGTCAGTCCATGGCTGGGGAAGGACGTAGTCTTGTCCAGGTTGGTGTCAGAGCTCAGTGTTTGGATCTTTAGGAGAGCAGGGCCCCTGCTGGGATGGCAGGAGATCGGCTCTGGGCGCTGTTGGCAAGCTTGGTGGGCTCCGGGAGCTCTGAGCTTCTTCCTGTGATGATCTCTAGGAGATCCACCCACTGTCTCTCCCCTGCCTCTCCCCTCAGATGCCCTCCTCTTCACCTCTCAGACCTCTGGGACTGTGTCTCTTGTGCCTCCTGGGCAGGGTAGGTGGGGCCTGAATGTAGGAATGTGCATGCATCAGGGCTCTGGGACAAGGAGGAGGAGAGAGGTGTTGGTTAACCTTCCCAATGGAGTCCTGTGCCATCGAGAGGATGCAGCAGGGAGGGACAGCCGCAGGATGTGACTTACCAGGCAAGATGAACTCCGAGGTGTTTTTGCTGCCATCGATATGGACCCTGAAATGATAAACTGGAGCAAGAAAGAGGGGCTTAAAAGAGTTCAGGTTGGGAATCCCCACCCCACCTCAGGCACCTATGGAGCTGGACACACACGTTCTCTCTCTCACACTGAGCTTCTTGGAGAGGGGCCATCAACTCAACATGGGAGTGGAACCGAGGGGCTGATTAGCATTGCCTGGCAGGGCAGAGGGTGGAGGTTAGGGATCCAGCAGAGGTCCTGTGTGTGTGTGTGTGTGTGTGTGTGTGTGTGTGTGTGTGTGTACTGCGGCTTGAATTCAGGGCTTGGGCTCTGCTTTGTTCCTTAGATTTTTAGCCCGAGGCTGGTGCTCTACCACTTTGGCCACATTCTATTTCCAGCTTCTTTGTGTTTCATTGGAGATAAGAGTCTGATGAATTCTTCTGCCCGGGCTGGCTTTGAACTGTGATCCTTAAATTTCAGCTTCCTGAGTATCTAGGATTTTTATAGGTGTGAGCCATTGGGGCCTGGCTTCAGACCTGTTATTTTTATTAAGTTTATTTTTTAAATGATCTTTAAGTAGTTGTATAAAGGTCTACCCTTCTCTAGACCTGGTTTTAAGTTCTAGCCGGGACTGTATATGTTATATTCTTTTTTTTTTGTCGGTCGTAGGGCTTGAACTCTGGGCCTGGGCACTGTCCCTCAGCTCTTCAGCTCAAGGCGAGCGCTCTACCACTTGAGCTACAGCGCCACTTCCGGTTTTCTGGTGGTTTATTGGAGATAGGAGTCTCACGGTCTTTCTTGCCCGGGCTGGCTTTGAACCGCGATCCTCAGATCTCAGCCTCCTGAGTAGCTAGGATTACAGGCGTGAGCCACCAGCGCCCGGCTTATGTTATATTCTTGAAGTCTTTATATTTCTTCATCTGGAACGTGGAGATTTTTATATCCCTCCTTTCCCTTAAAGATTCCCTGATTAAAAATAACTTTATTAATTGCTATACTCACATTTATAATGCACATACCATCCAATTCACTTATTTCAAGTGTGCATCCCAATTAAAAATTTTTTTTGCATATTTATGGATTTGTGTAACCATCACTAGAATCTAAGTTGAGAGCATCTTCTTTTTCTTTTTAAATTTTGCCCCCCTTCTGTAAAAGCTTGCTAGACTTTTCTTTCCTAACAGGGCAAAGATATATATATATATATATATATATATATATACACACACACATATATATACACACACACACAGATATATATATACACACACATATATATATGGTATTATTGAAACCACCTTAAGCTGAAGACATTTTTATCCCTAAACAAACCCCTTCCAACCTACTAGAGCTCACACCCTATCCCCTGCCTCCCTCCTGTCACCATAGGATGCATCTTCACCTTATATAGCAGTCCACCATGTACATTTTCTGTGCCCAATTTAAAGATGGGCAGACTGAGGCTGAAAGTCTTTAGGTAAGTCACCCAAGGCCATCTGGTGAGTAGCAAAGCTACAGGTGAAATCCAGGCAGCTTGTCTTGAGAAACAATCTCCTTCTATAGCCCAGGCTGGCCTTCAGCTCCCAATCCTCCTGCCTCTGCCTCCCGAGTGCTGGGATTACAGGCGTGTCCTCCCATACTTGGCTCAGATGCATGTTCTTAATCCTTGCCCTGTACCTCTTCCCCCTCAGGACAGGTGATAGGTGTTTGTGCCATAGAGTAGAAATGATGATCTACAGTTAAAAACGTATTCTAGCTGCTTCTGCCTTCTATGGAGAACACCACATGTTCCCATAACTGGGAAAACAAATTTTAGTTCCACGGCGTTCTGTTTCTTGAAGCTCAACAGGAAGGAAGGAGGCAAGGGCTGGGTTTCCCATGTTCTTATCAGTCCGGAGGTGTGGAGGGAAAGAGCCTTTGCTATAGAGCAGGCACTTGGCTCCATAGCAAGCTATTGGTGTGGCTGTGACCGCCTGGGGTGGTTGGGGAAGGAAAAGGTGCTGAGTTCCAAGTCTGGTTCCTTGCAGAGAGGAGCCACAGCCTGGGAGGATGGGCTGTGCGCCGCCATTCCACAGACCCGTGGATGTGGGCAGGGATGGGGCAGAAGCTCTGGGCTATGTTATTGACATCTTATGGGATAGGCTCATGTGGACTAATTAGGTCACTCTTGGATTTTGTCATAGGAAGAGTAGCATTTGAGCCACATGTGGGTGTGTGAGCCCAGGGAAGAATGTATACAACAGAAGAAAGGAGAAAGAGAAAGAGGAGGGTGTGTGTGTGTGTGTGTGTGTGTGTGTGTGTGTGTGTGTGTGCAGGACACTGGGTAATCAATAAAACAATTGGAAGGCAATCAACTGGCGTGGAGTCAGGACTGAAGTTTGGAACTTTTCATGGGGTCACAGATCATCCTGAGAATGACAAAAGCCATGGACTTCCTTCAGATACTGTACCTACAGAACAGTATCTGAGTCCTGGGCTTTTCTTTGTGAATTAGGAAATGCTGCCCCCCTGTGGAGAGCTAGAAAATAGTTCCCAGACCTCTGAGATGGGGGAATGAGAAAAGGCATCTATGTGTATATATCTCACCTGGAAGGCCTACAGCTTGATATTGTGGAGTGAATTGTGTCTCCCGCTTCCCTTCCAGTTTTATATGCTGAAGGCCCAACCCGCCCACATCTTTGAGTGTGCATGTGGGGATTCAGCCATTGGAAAGATGATGAAGTGGGGCCTCCTATTAGAGTGGGCTCAAATCCCATTGACTGGTTCTTCTAAGAAGAGATTAAAACTCAGGTGGGCACAAAGCGAAGGCACGTGGAGTCATCTGTGAGCCCAGGAAGGGCCACAGGGAGAACTGCCCAGCTGATGGATGAGGCCCCGGAACCCAGGGAGACCAGCACCTGGTCTGTGGCATCTTACTACCAAACGAAGACACCTGGTAGACATGGCTCCCATGGATGGGACCCCTGCGGGATGCAAGCTGCGTGCCTGGCAAGGTGGCCCCTGGCACATCAGCACCTCCTTGAAATCCACCCGTGGGGTGACTCGACTTACCCAGATGCCCCCCCAGAAGGGAAAGCCGCTGTACAGGGAGATGCGTATGTAGTTCCCCAAGAGCACCGTGGCCATGATGGAGCCCAGGCCGATGTGCACCAGGCCAATCAGGATCTGCGTGACCTGTCAGGACAGCGCAGCTGGAACCTCTGCCCCCCTCCTCCCCCCGGGCTGAGCCCCTCCCCTCGGGAGCCTCTCTACTTGAATAAATGTTTGCTTTTCCCCAGGTCTGGAAAGTCACAGGAGAAATGCAAGGACGAGATTACAGACCACTCATCACTGATCTACATCTGGAGGAAAAATCATTTACACGTTGCTGCCTAACCTTCCGTGACTGTTTCTATTTGCATACCACAATACATCAGCACAGCGGCTCTGTCTTTTGTTTACTTAATAGTTATCATGAGTATCACCCTCTGGGGTTAAGTGTTCTTTTCTTTTCCTTCTTTGATGGCGGTGCTGGGTTTGAACTCGGGGCCTCCAACGTGCCCTGCAGGTACTCTACCACTTGAGCTATATACCTCTCCCTCTTTTTGCTTTTAGTTAATTTTTTTCCCCAGTAAGGTCTCACATTTATGCCCAGGCTGGCTTTTACTACCATCATTCTGTTGACACTTCTGAGTAGCCAGGATGACAGGTATACACTACCATGCCCAGCTTTAAAAAAAAATTGGTTGAGATGGTGTCCATAAACTTGTTTCTAGTCACTTGTTACAGCAATGCAATCAGTGGACATCCCTGTATGTGATTTTTTTTTTGTCCTAAAGATATAAGTATCTTTAGGATATTGTCATGGGTACACACACACACAGAGAAATGTAATAATTGTGTTTTTGGAAGTCTGGAAGGGACAAACTGTGTCTTATTCAGGCTGCTTCAGTGTCTTTGCCACCAGTGAGATCTGAGGATGGGGCTAGGCCCGGAGTGTAGGCTTGGGGGCTCAGAATTCATGCTTGCTGCCATTGGCCTACACAATGACAGGGGATCCCCTGTTCTTCATTGGGGCTCCTGTAGTTGTTGTGAATTCTTACTTTGCTATTTGTCTAAACCAGCCTTTAAAAAAAACTTTTTCAGGCCAAGGTTTGGTTCAATCACATTGGACTTTGTCTCCCTCTTGTGGCTTACTTGGTCCTTGCAGGACCCACTTTCTGCCTGCGACCATGAGGATCACATGGATGATCACAGGGCCCTGCTCTTCCTTCTCTGTTCTCTTTCTTAAAATGTCTAAATCAGAAAAGACAAGGCCTTATGGATGTCCCTGGTGATGTTACTCGGCTGCACACTTTAATAGACTCAGGATTGGCCAGGCCAGGTCAGCTGCATCCCTACTTGCAGGAGCTTTTCCGCATAGCTCCTAATCTTCCCCTTCCTCTCACTCCACCAGCCACTTGGCCTCCTCTCACTGAACAATGAAATCTTACTTACTCCCAAGACTTTGCCTTCTTTCAAGATCTTCGGGGCAGGCAGCACAGTTACAGCCGGCATTAAACCAGGTGGGTTCCCAGGGATGACGTGGACTGGCGGTTGGCTGTCTGGATATGAGGGCACCTGAGACATGACTCCTGACATCACAGGATAACCGTTGTAAGGTGCGGCCACAAACACGGAGCTGGCCATGGGGCCGGCCGAAGGCATTGCATTCATGCTGCTAGACAAAGAAATGCAATAGAGTCATGCTTCCTTCGTTGTTTGTTTGTTTACTTGCTACCAGTACTAGGGCTGGAACTTAGGGCCTGGGCCCTGTGCCCAAGTGTTCTTTTTTTCACTCAAAGCTGGTGCTCTACCAGTTGAGCCTCACCTCTGTTTTCAGCTTTGAGTGGTTCATTGGAGATAAGAATGTCACAGACTTTCCTGCCTGGTCTGGCTTTGAACTGTGGTTCTCAGAGCTCAGCCTCCTGGATAGTTAGGATTACAAGTGTCTGCCACTAGCACTTGGCTGCATTTACATTTAAATAGGGCTTCCTTCCTTCCTTCCTTCCTTCTTCCTTCCTTCCTTCTTTCTTCCTTACTTCATTTCTTCTTCCTTTCCTTTCTTTCTTTCTTCCTTCCTTCCTCTTTCTTTCTTTCTTTCTTTCTTTCTTTCTTTCTTTCTTTCTTTCTTTCTTTCTTTCTTTCCCTCTTCTCTCCCTTTCTCTCTCAACCTACTCTGAGACATGAGCTCAAAGGTACTTAAGAATGCCCAGCATTCAATGCTTCATAAAACAGGTCTCCTTTCATTGTCCAGCTTCACAGGTGAGAAAAGAACAGTCTAGAGAGGGTAACCATGGCTATAAGACAATGGCTATGTCTTTTCCATGTCCACATCCTCCTATGTTTGGCATGCGTGCTTTGGATGTGTGAGTACCACCCAATCACAGAGTGTCACACGTGCAAAGTCTCTTGCTGAGCATCAAATTGGCTTCCTTACTTTCTGTAAAAGGGAGAGAGAGAGAGGACTTGAGTCTTCAATGTCATGTACCTGTTAGTTAAAAATGGAGCCTGGTGGCTCACACCTGTAATCCTAGCTATTCAGGAGGCTGAGATCTGAGGACCATGATTCAAAGCCAGCCAAGCAGAAAAGCCTGTGAGACTTTTATCTCCACTAAACTATCAAAAAACCCAGAAGTGGAGCTGTGGCTCAAGTGCTACCTTTGAGCAAAAGAAGCTTGGGGACAGTGCCCAGGTGTTACAACCAAGCTCCAGGGTCCTCACCAAAAAGAAAAAAAAAAGGAGGCTGCTGAGAGAGACAAATGGCTTATGCTTTCTCTCATATGCAGAAGCTAGACCTAAAATACAACGGGACATGATAAATTATACAGGTCTTTAGGCATTTACATACGGTGAGACCATTTGAGGATACCCTTAGGGGAAGAACACAAAGGCATTATGCCTATGTGCCTCTGATTGTATAAAATAATATTTATCGAAATGAAGTCCAGGAAATGGAAACAAGAGGTTTTTTTCTTTGTTGTTGTTTTTGTTTCCTTTACCTTTTGTCCTGTCTATTAGTTCATCTGTCTTTGGGAGGGTAAGGGGGAGCACAGAAATGGAGGGACACAGAGTGAACAAAGGCAGCAGTGGTACTCACCGAGCACTATGTTGAAAATGAGCTATACAACTTGTGGGTGCGGGTGGGAGGGAAAAACTGGGAAAGTGTGAAGGAAAGGATGACGTTATCTAATAAGAAATGTACTCATTCCCTGACTTATGTAACTGCCACGCCTCTGTACATCACCTTTATAGTAAAAATAAGAAAATGAAAACGGAAAACATGGGGGTCATCAGTCTCCAGGGCAGCCCACTGGTAGTATTTGTTCCTCCAGTGAAGCACATTGCTCCATGTTCTAGGCCACTTCTGAATTCCAGTGTAGCCTTAAACATCTTCTTCTTCCTTCCCTCTTAATTAATTAATTTTTTGGAGCAGACCCAATTAAATGAATTCAATTAACCCTGCCATGTCTTCCATCTATACTCAGAGTCCCTCCCTCGTTACCTTATTTGTCAGATAAACCTCATCACCAACCCTCAGTGGTCCACAGAAACCACTAGATGAAGGCCACTTACCTTTTTTTTTCTTCTAGCAACCAGGTCTGGTCTTGCTGTTGCTCCCAATTCTTTGCTGTGAGAAATGGTTTCCAAGGGAATGAATGCACGGGGTGCAGCTGGTAGATACAATTAGACAGCTCTAAAGTCCTCTCCGCTTCTTCCTGGGTGCGGACAGGTCACCGGCTGCTCAGGGCTCAGCTTCTCCACCCACATTTGCTCCCCCTCTTAGTCAGAGAGCCGCTGAAATGTTCAATTTGCTATGTTAGATGTTTCCCACAGGCCAGCAAAGAGTTGTGCAGGGTGCTCTAGGAGACACAGGAATGATGTCACTGTCATGACATCAGCACCACACGCAGGAAGGGAAGTGAGCTCCCTGAGACAATCCTATGAGGACTTGGAAGAGATCAAGCATTTGAAATTGGGGAACTGCAACATGAAAGGGGGTGGGGCCAGAGCAAGGGAAATGAGACGGACAATCAACTTACCTCTATTTTTAGCTGTGTCACAACCTACAGAAAATCAGAAACCACCTTACTTGCAAAATTCCCCGGGGTGAACTGCACAGGCAACTTACAATAAGACTGTTGTAATAAGCCTCTTGTTGGAATTGTCCTTTGAGTTTCTATGGACATATAAAAGTCACTCAATAAACACTCACTGACTGGATCAATGAAAGCTGATAGGAGGGCCAGAGTCAGTAGAAAACAGGTTATGAAACATTATAGGTAGAGGTTATAGGAAGAGGCAAAGTCCTGGAGAGAAGGCACAGGATGTAGTTTGGGTATGGCAAACAGTGAAGGACATTGAAAGCAATAACAATGTGAAAGTAGATGGAGTCAAACCTTATATCTTTACCCATTTTTTCTGGACCTTTGCCCCTCAATTTTTAAGAGTGCTTTATATATTAGGGATACTAACTCTACATTTGTGGGATATTTTCTCCAAGTCTGACAATTCTCTTCTTACCAGTTTATCATTTTTTTGTAGTAGTTATTCATTTCTTTGAGATAGCATGTCACTAGGTAACCCAAAACAGCCTTGAATTCACAATCCTCCTGTCTCAGCCTGTAATCCTGAGTTCTGGGATTATAGGCATGTGTCACCAAAGCATTTAGTTTCAGCATGAAAGGTTAAAATTTGTGTGTGCCTGCTGTCCTGGGGCTTGAACTCAGGACCTGGGCTCTGTCCCTGAGATTTTTGGCTCAAGGTTGGTGTTCTACCACTTGAGCCACAGCTCTACTTCTGGCTTTTTGGTGGTTAATTGGAGATAAAAATCAGATGGACTTTCCTGCCCAGGCTGGCTTCCAACTGTGATAATCAGATTTCAGCCTCCTGAGTAGCTAGGATTACAGGTGTGAGCTACCAGTGGCTAGCTAAGATTTAATTTTTTGTTGTTGTTATTGTTGGTCATGGAGCTTGAACTCAGGGCCTAGGCACCGTCCCTGAGCTTTTTTGCCCAAAGCTAGTGCTCTACCACTTTGAGCCACAGCACCACTTCCAATTTTCTGGTAGTTAATTGAAGATAATAGTCTCATAGACTTTCCTGTCTGGGCTGGCTTTGAACTGTGGTCCTTAGATCTCAGCCTCCTGAGTGCCTAAGATTATAGGCATGAGCCATTGGTGCCTGACTAGATTTAAAATTTTTATGTAGCAAAACATATTAATATTTTATTATCTATGTTTTTTGAGTCATTAGAAAGCCTTTACTAACATCAATATTAAATAGGAATTCTAGAGCGTTTATAATTCTACCTTTTTGGGTGTGAAATGTTGAGAATCAAACCTAGGGCTTCATACATGCTAGGCAAGCATTATACCACTGAGCTACTGGCTCAGCCTTAATCATTTTACATTTCAATTTTGAATATAACTATTTCATTTTTTTGCAAGTTCTGGAGCTTGAACTCTGGGCCTGGGCTCTGTCCCTGAGCTTCATTTTGCTCCAGGCCAGCATTCTACCACACTTGTGCCACAGCACCACTTTGGCTTTTTTTTTCCTGTGTAGTTTATTGGAGCTAAGAGTCTCATGAACTTTCCTGCCAGGGCTGGCTTCAAACCATGATCCTTGGATCTCAGTCTCTTGAGTAGCCAGGATTACAGGGGTGAGCCCCTGGATCCCGACTATTTCATTCTTGTGATTGACATGTGATGGAGAACTCATTTCATACTTTCCTAAAGTCCATTTTGATAGTAGTGATTTGACATGTCTCCTTTGTGTATCATATCAAAGCTCTATATGAATTTAGATCCAATTCTGATTTTTCTCCTCTATGCGACTAGTCCATTTATCTATTCATGTGTTATCTCAAAAATGTTTTTAATCATAGAGGCTTTATCATGTAGTTTAATGTCTAGTAGGGTTAGTTTCCTTATTGTAAGTTTCTTTTTCATTATTTTCCTGGCTTTTCCAGAAGGTTTGCCTCTCCAAATGAGTGACCAATGTTTTTAATTGGCATAACGTCGAAAAATAGATCCTATAAAAGGAATGACATGCCTCAACTTGCATTGGAGAATATAATAAGATATCTGAGCAAGAATATGTAGGCAATTAAACCCTAGTTTATGAGGGTCAACAGAATCAAGTTTAAGCAGCTCATATAGAGAATGGAATTTTCTACCATACAAGCTTCCTGGAAATGGTGCCAGCTGCCTAGCAGTTACCAGAAAAGGTACCTCAGGCTGTGCTGCTGGTAGTCTATTTCTATAGCTACCAAGAATTCCCTAAGCCTGCCTTCCTGAGGACGAAGTGGGGGTGGGGCCAGGCCAAAGGTTCTGGGAAGTTAAGATCCTAGGAAGTTTTCTTAACCAATGAAATGAGCGCTTGGTGGATAGTTTCTCTATCTTTTATGAGTACCCCCTCAAAGAGCGATTCTGAAGCCTATTGCATCTTTCTTCAATAGGATGGAGACCCAGATTCCTTTAACCACAACCCAGTAATCAATCCTACTTTGCTGGCTTTCCTCTCCTCCTTCCCTTCCGGTATCACTTTTCCATTTGTTCTCAGCAGTACCTCCCGTTAAACCATAAGCCGGCAAATTCTTAACGTCTTCTTTGGGGAAACCCCAAATAAGATACCTACTGCCTTGGGTAGGGCAGAAAAGGTAATTACTTCTTGTGAA